GCATAGGACATACAACCTAATTTACTGTAATGTGGTTGGCTATAAATACACATGAAATTAGAATATAAACCTCTTCTTTGTATTCACTTTTAGAATATTGTGCTCACTTCCCTCCATGTTTTGCAAGCTCCTTTTGTTACCTTCACACATGTGCTTACTTTCCAAATGATTAGCCTCAGAATGGATGGCTTTTATGTAGACAAAGCAAGTATATGCTTACATTTTTTTAAAATTTCTAAAGAAACAACTCACACTGCACAAGCTGATGTGTCACAGTGCTGAATATAGAAGTATGGACTTTTTTACTCTTCTAAGACAGTTGAAATCAGTAATACAAACCTCACTGCATATATAGCATCTCTGACAAAATTTTGCCTATTTTACAGAGTGCCTGAATACATAACCGTAACTGGAAGGAGAAGGCAGCTGAACACCAGTGCTTTTTACACAGCAAACTTATTTGTGTCATAAAACTGTGTTTCCATGGGCACAGGGTTCAGTTTTAATCACAGTGCATTTCCAAGCACCTTAAGGCTTCCCTAAAGTGGGAAGCATCAGGTTCCTACTCCTAATTATCCATGTCTTCATATACTTGTGTGTTTCTAATAAGAACGGAAAACAAAAACTGTCAACATGCAGTGGCAGCCAATGTACATCAGAAAATTAAATTTGCAAACAGCTAGAGTAAGAGCTTTCTCATGATACCTCAATCTTCTGATAAGACATGGGAGTGTCCTCCTCAGATTGATGCTCTGGGAGATAAAAAATGGGTTTCCACCCCCACTTTCCCTTACTACTACAAACTTTACGACTGCAGCATGTACAGAGAAGGGCAACAAAGCTGATGAAAGACCTCAAACACAAGTCCTGTAAGGAGAGGCTGAGGGAGCTGGGGTTATTCAGTCTGGAGAAGAGTAGGCTCACTGGTGACCTTATCACTCTCTATGACTAACTGAAAGAAGTTTGCAGCCAGGTTGGGTCAGCCTCTTCTCCCAGACAACTAGCGACAGAAGAGAGGACATAACCTCAAGTCGTGCCAAGGGAGTTTGTGTTAGACATTCATTTCTTCAGAGAAGGGTGGTTAGACACTGGCAGGGACTGCAGGAGTGGGTGGTGGAGCCACCATCCCTGGAGGTGTCCAAGGAGACACTGGATGCGGCACTTAGTGCCATGGTCTAGCTGACGCGGTGGTGTTAGGTCATACACAAGTTGGACTCGATGATCTCAGAGGCCCTTTCCAACCTGATTGATTCTGTGACTTATTTCTCCTTCACAACATACAACTTATCACCTCAGCACTACAGTCACATCACAGTTGTGGTCTATCCATGTGCCCCCTCAGATGCAGCTCCTGCACTTGGCCAGGCGCTCTCAGCCTG